TTTTGGTTAACTTTAGTTTCAAGCGATCAACAACAGGCTGTGAATAGGAATGCACATCCTTGATCATGAATGAGGAGAAAATTTATTCAGAAGGTCAATCGGTATGCAGAGACAAAACTCACTTTATAAGATAGTGGTTCTCACGGGTCAACCCACCCCTTTCCATGCAATGATTGAGGGCCCGAAGACAAGGAATAAAACCAATATGCATATAGCATGCCTATAGTTATCTTTTAGTATGTCCTAAATCACAAAAAAAATGTTCCTGCTCTGTTGAATTTAACTATCAATTTTGTTATTTTAAAAACATGATTTCCTAATAATATGATTTTGTTTGAGGTTAAGAGTTTCATTTTATTTTGAAAAATTATGTTTTGGTTGTTGTTTAGTTGGGATAGAAAACATAGTCCTTATAGATCCTACTGTAAATCCAGGAAAAAGACACAAAGCATCGACCTTACATGTGGTCAAACCTATCAACAACAATAAAGCACAGACACAGACAACATAATAGGGTATCGACCCTAGCCTATGTCCGGCTCGTCGATCAACATCATCCATATTATTGTTGATGGTTTCATTGAGGTTTATCCTTCATTTCGTGTTTTGTCTTCTTTTGGATATTTCAAAAGTTGATAATTGATCGACTACAATGTCTTCTAACTCTAGAAAAGAAAACGATTATCATAACTCAAGAAGGTAAGTCCTAAACATTCTCATACTCACAAATCTCTTCATCAAATTCATGGACATCATCATTCTCAATGATTTCAATATCATTGTCATGCAAATTAATATACAACTTTTCACTGCTATACTTATTGACATGATGACACCAAGAAAACATATTTGGCACACATTTTTAGAACCAAATACAAAATTGAAAGGCTTCCACTTATTAATAATAGTGTTACTACCCTTAGCAAAAATAGGTGCAACAAATTGAATGATTTTTTTATGAAAAGACACATTAACAAACTATATAGTAACACTTGGAATAAAAGAAATTAACATTTCATCAAAATCCAAAGAAAATTAAAAAAAACATACTCAAGTGATGGAATTGTGATGCACTATTATCTCTCTACTTGATATTACGTCTCAAACCATACCTAAATTTAGATACATGATTTTAGGATCTTCAATGATTTCAAAATACTACTACTATTCAAATTTGATCATGTCTTGGGCATGTTGTATAAATAATGATCTTAATTTTTTATTTCTAAAATAAAATATGATACTCATTATGACACAATGGAGAAAAAAGATTCATATAGCAGCCCCCAATTAAAGGGATAAAGACTTATTGTTGTTGTTGTATTCAATAATAATTTTAGTCCCTTGTATTACAATTTGAACTCATCAGGCAATCAATCACAACATAGCAAAGGTAATATTTCTCGTTTAAAAGTTCTTCACAGCCTAACAAAGGTAATATTTTTTTTAAAAAGTTCTTCATCGCAACCCAAGTAATTGTAAGCTCCCTCCCAAATTTCCTTTTAATTCCGCACAATCATCCAATACATTTTAGCCTTCCCTATAAATTTCAATTTGCGCCGCTCACTAAACACCTTTTTCCACTCAAGGAAATTGTTTATATCCATTATCCAATTAAAAAATTCCAAAGGCAATAGATATTCATTAAAAGCACACACTTTAATTTTGATCCTATCTTAGGTATGTCATCGTCCAAGTAAAAGTTTTAACATATATGATTCCCATAAAATTCATTGTCATGCATCTTGTGACATCTAGCTTGATTATTTCCCTATGATGGTTTTTTGGCCACATGCCCATGTTTACATTAGAGTGAAATTACTTCCTACCATCCCAACAATCATTTTAAGCTCAAACATAAACATTCAAAATAATTATAGGTCTCTCACACAAACATAAAATACAACACGGTGTAATATCTACCGTGGCTATTACCAGTTTAACGTTCTAGTTTATTAGCTTTTACTATTTTTGGCTTATATATTAGGCCCCTAATACTTTTTACTACTATCTGCTTTAGCAGAATTACCTTCGCTTAGTGTTACAAATGTTGGAAGTTATAAATACTAGTGGGATTGTAAGTTGTAGCAGCTTTTTCAGAGTTTTATTCTCCAGGTTATTCCCCTTGGAAGCGATAGAGCTTCATACATTGCTTTTCTTGTAATTCTTTTGTTCACTGTTTGCAAGAGTTTGCATCACTACATTACCAACCAAAATTTTAAAAAAAAATTACTTGGTGATTTTTTTATTAATAGATTATTATATAATATATTATGGAGAATCTTAACGGAAGTAATGTGCATAATTACCCTCTTCGATGATGAAAGTAGTCAACATGGGCGGACCCACATTTAACTCAAGGAGGGCAATTGACCCCCAAAAATTATGGTATTCTCCTCATAAGGGTGGGATATTTCGTCATTTGCCCCTCTAAACAATCCAAGCTGGCCCTTTATTCATCCTATCAAAGCAGCTCTAATTGCCTTTATAAAAAGGCAAATTGATTAAATTTGTATAAATGCTACTTAATAAATCAAGATAATTCAAATTAATTTATGAATTAAATGTTTTAATTAAAAATATATTTATTTTCCTTAAAAAATGAGAGCCTTCACAGGATTTCCTATCCACCAATTCGTTGAAAAATTTTGATATCTTCTACTATGCCCTTTTCATTTAAAGAGCAAAAAACATACTCTTGAACTCCAATGTGCGACTAAACTTTTTCATTGGCACCGGGCTACTAAGCTCCGTTTTATTTTAAAAGAGAAATTTACATGCCTACCACTCAATTCCTATGTATTTACAAATTAAACATCAAAACTTCAATTTTAACATACGTATTTTTGATATCTTCTAATATGCCCTTTTCATTTAAAGAGCAAAAAACATACTTTTGAACTCCAATGTGCGACTAAACTTTTTTCATTGGCACCGGACTACTAAGCTCCGTTTTATTTTAAAAGAGAAATTTACATGCCTACCACTCAATTCCTATGTATTTACAAATTAAACATCAAAACTTCAATTTTAACATACATACCACCTTAACTATGCATTAAAAGGTGTTCATTTTTTCAAAATTAAAATAGCAGTATCACAAAAACAAAAATACTGTCATTTTTTATGTGATATAATGGATTTTAGTGGCATAAATATAAAAATTAAAGTTTATACAGATATGCAAATACATAAAAATCTTGCGATAAGTATTTAAATGGCCCTTTATTTAAAATTTTTTTGCATACTTTTAATGAATATCTGAGTTTAGAAAACTCTAATTTTTGTGATATTTAAGCTAAGCAAATGAGATAATAAAAAATATAAGACAAAATTATAGTAAGTTTGAACATGTAGATTTATTTATTAATTGTTTTGCATAAAATTATTTATTAATTTTTAAATAACTTTTTAAATAATTTTTTTATAATTAGTGTGAGCTTCACATGAAAATTTAATTAATTTTTTTATAATAAATTTGCTTGCAATTCCCTCCCCTCCCCCCCCCTCACCCCACTAAAAAAAGATGCTAGTTCCACCACTGACAGCCAAGATGAGCTTGCAAATAAACTTACTCATATTTAATGATTCTACAGAAAGAAACCTACAACGATGCAAAAACATGAGACATCTATACGAGTGGGGTGATATGCTAGTAGTATTTAAAGTTTAAATGCCAAAGATTCCATTTTTTTTAGTTGTGATATACTTAAATTCAAGAATAAATAAGAAAAAATTGTCAACATGAATCTCGAGGGGATCACTCGGTCCATACAGGACAATATGTGTCAAATGAGAGTATGTCAATAAGAGAATTGAAGGCCCATGTGTCTGATATCAAGACCAAAACTAACCAAAGCAACCAAACAACTTGAACCTTAGCAATTTGACTGGTAGCAAAGCACAGGGGAATCCATGACATTCCCTACAATGGAACCAACCCAAGGGAGAAAGCTAATCCCTCGAATCTTACAATTCCCTCGGAGGTATTTAGCGGCTTCCCCAAACACCGTTAATAATTAGTGAGATAAATCTCAGCCATCCGTCAAGACTTTTTCATCTAAAAGCGGTTACCTATTGCACAATAGCCTAGCTCTGCCCTACCAACATGAGTTCTTTCATGGGGATTGTGGGTTCGCAGCTAGACTCAACCAAGTGACCAATCAATCTGCATGGCAAGCCGACCGAGACAATCTCGCCAACCTTTTGTCAATAAAAGACTCAACCAATCGACAAAACTAAACCTAGCTGATTGATTGTCTTATTGAATCAGGTTGATCAGCTCCCCTCTATCTTAGCCGGCAGGCAACACCTATTAAGGTCTCTCCAACGCAGTTATTCGAGCCAGAGAACAGTCAAGCTTTGTGCCCACATATGTAAAACACTTAGAATAACATGTACAACTCCCACTAAATTAGGGACACAAATATAATTTCACATACCATAACCTCTTCCTCTATAAATTGAAAATAATTTTATGAATAAAGTGTTACATAACCTTACTCAAAAGGGTCCAGAAAGGTTAATACACTTTCTCTAAATTATTGTTCATCATTGTGCATTTCTCTCCGTCACTCTCCCTATCTCTTTTGTCTCATGCTCTATTCTTTGGTTGTGATTAATGAATAAATTTGGATTCAACAAAGAGTTCTACCCATAAGTATGCTACAAGTACCCATGGGGGAACCATGTTTCTTTATGTGCTCGGTCATGAATCAAATCAGCCAAGTTATCGGTTTAAACTTTCAGGTGAAACAATTACAATCTTAATTACTGCATATTACTCCTATGATTATAACAGCATAATTTGTTTATATACACCAAAAAAAATGGAACCATAATATATATACACGCACTCAATCAATCAAATATAAGCACCCAAAGGAAATCCATAAAATGAATATATTTACAACAAAAGAGAGAAAAAAAACAAAACAAAATAATCATATTCAAAGCAAATAATTAACAAAAATGGCAGTACATGATAGATTTAAACTAACCAATCAGCAGTCTTTTTCACTGCCACAGCACTTGCTCTCTGAACCTTTGAAGACGGATCATCAGAAGCCATCCTCTGTTTAACTTCCCTGCATCACACAAACTTCCCTTATTAAAAAAACAAAGCTACTCGACACTCGAAGCGATTCTTCCCACAGAAACAATATGAGATGCATCCAGCAGACATCAAATTCGCGCACAGCAATCGGAGCGCAATAAAAAAACAGAAAGATATGAATCCTATTCTTGATCGCATTTCCCAATGAAAGCAATCAATACACTCAAAAACCAAAATAAAATAAAATAAAATAAATAAATAAAGCTAGGGATTGCGAAGAGGAAGGATATAAGAATGCAATATGGGCAGCGAATTACGACAAAGACCGGGACGGAGAGAAGCGATGCCTTCGCCTTCGTCAGTTCGTCGTCTCTCTCTCTCTCGGTGCTTTGGGATATTCACGTTCTAGCGAGAGATGAGTATGAAGCAGTGACCGGAGAGCGGGATCTCACCGCTGCGTGTGGAAACCACTCGCTCTTGTTTTTCAGTTCTGCTGATAAATAAATTGCTCGAGCTATCGTGGGGATGGGCCACCGGCACGCTGATTCATTGCTGCACCTGGTTTTGATTCCACTACCATTAAAACGGGCTGCGTGGTATTGCAACTTTTAATTTAAATCCAGCAAAAAAAAAAAAAAAAAAAATCAATTCAATTCTTCGTTGCATCTTCACTACAGTCATTCCGTCTACAAATCCGAATTTAAATAATTAATTTATTGTAGAAAATTTAAGCCAATTTTTTTATAAAACTTAACTAAATTGTTGGATATTTTTTATAGGCATTTACAAACATAGTCATAATTCTCATGTCTTTATATTTCTTATATCTAAACTTTTATATTTACCCGCATAGCACTCAAAATCTCAAATATTTAATAACACATGCAAATATTTATTGTTATTTTTTAAAAATAAAATTTATATTTTCATGCATAGATTTAAAGCATCAAATTTGTTATGTATGTTATGGATGCGTGCTAGAAAATTTGAGACAGTGGAGTACCAAATTATCGTCTTAGCATGATACAAAGATTCAATATAAAGCACAAGGGTCTGACCAAGCTGAAAAGTTTCACTAAAAAAATAATTACAGTTGCAATCGCTTGTTCGACAGCCGTGTTCGATTCGTTTACACCCCTAATCTTCACTACAGTCATTCCGTCTACAAATCCCAATTTAAATAATTAATTTATCTCCCTAGGGTTATTGTAGAAAATTTAAGCCAATTTTTTTATAAAAATTAATTAAATTGTTGGATATTTTTTATAGGCATTTACAAACATAGTCATAATTCTCATGTCTTTATATTTCTTATATCTAAACTTTTATATTTACCCGCATAGCACTCAAAATCTCAAATATTTAATAACACATGCAAATATTTATTGTTATTTTTTAAAAATAAAATTTATATTTTCATGCATAGATTTAAAGCATCAAATTTGTTATGTATGTTATGAATGTGTGCTAGAAAATTTGAGGCAGTGGATACAAAGATTCAATATAAAGCACAAGGATCTGACCAAGCTGAAAAGTTTCACTAAAAAATAATTACAGTTGCAATCGCTTGTTCGACAGACGGAAAAATAGTTACTAGGTTTCCTAAGTTTAAACGTCAACTAGCGATGACTTATAGCGATTGACAGCTTCCGGTTGGTAGTGCTCAACAGTGGTTGATGGTAATCGATGACGATCAGTGGCGGCCGATGGAGATTGGTGGCGATCAACGACGGTCGTCGGGATCAACGATATTCAGCGGTGGTCGACAACTGTTAGCGATAGGCGACAACACCAAGAGTTGTGATAGATTTCAGTTTCTTCTCAAAGCTTAGTTTTTTTTTCTCAAGCCCCAAGCTCTTTTCTTTCTCTCATGAGAGTCTAATTATTAGGTGCGGAGGGCGCCCGCAGAACTGTAAGTTTTAGGTGCAATTAATGCAAAAATATGATTCACTTTGATTGAACGGCTCAGAGAGCTTCTCTCAATGATATAGGAATTAAGTTTTAAGTGCAATTAATGCAAAAATATGATTCACTTTGATTAAACGGCTCAGAGAGCTTCTCTCAATGATATAGGAATTGAGTGATTCTAGTCTCATTGGATTCTTTTTGTTCAGAAGGTCAATTTAGCTATAAACTTGTCAGAATTAACATTCATTTGACTTTCCAAATATGACCAGAAATCTTTCAAAAACGGTTTAATTGTTTGATTTGGTTCAGATTTAATTGATTTTGTTAACATTATGTTCATCTTGTCGAGCCGGTAAGTTTGACTTTAAGTTTGCTGAAATTAGAATTCTGGATGACTTTTTATTGATGTTTGAATATTTCTTGCTCAAAAAGTTACATCGAGATCGATGTCATACTTCGGGCTTGATATCAAATGAAGAAAATTTATTGGAATTGTATCAATCATATATCCAAATAATATATAACACTTCATTATAAAAGAGACGCTTAGAGAAGAATCAAGTGACAAGAATGTTTTATTGATGCAGGATAACAATGAAAGTGACGAGGGGTGTTATTTCTTGGATATTATGCAAGAAAAATAAATTTTAAATGCTAACTATATATCAACCAGACAAACCACCAAACGGGCGATAATCTCTGCATTCAGAACCGACCGAAGGTCGCCGAGTTCTCTCCCCTCTTCGCGCGCCGTGTTCCAATGGCGGACGAACTCGAAGAGCTGCTAGGGTTTCTCTCCTCGCCTTCTCCACAAGTATGCCTATCTCCTCCCACCAATTTCTTTCCCTTTCTCTCTTCGTCTTTTACACGAACCTCAACCCTCGGAAACTCCAGGTGAAGAAGGCCGCGTTGGACATCGTCCGTGGTCTAACTGGCTCTGATGGCGGCATCGAGACCCTGGCTTCGCGTTCCGATATTGCTCTTCCCCCGCTTCGCCGCCTTCTTCGCGATCCCCCAGACGTAGCCGCTCCGGCCGCCGAGACCCTCATAAACCTCTCCCAAAACCCCAACCTTTCTGAGAAGCTTGTCTCACTTGGAGCCGTGAATGCGGCGATGGAGGTGATTTTTAAACAGAGGGATAACGACGCTAAACTCCACAAGCTTCTTGTTATGCTCCTCGTCAATCTCACCCAGTTGGACTCTGGCATCTCTTCCCTGCTACAGGTATTTTTATAATCATTGTTGTAAGATATTTCAGGTATTTTTTGGATAAAAGGCTGGATTTACTTCCAATCGATCAATCCTTTATGCTTGCTGCTCTGGCTTCTTGAGGTTGGTGATGATAAACTTGAAGGCCTGTATTTCTCCAAGCTCGTCAGGTTGTTTTGCGGATCTTCTTCCAGTGATACTACTGGTTCGTTCTTAATCACGCAACACTGTTCTTAAAATTAGCCGTTGTTCAAATTTGCATGCTTTGTATGCTAGATTTCATGATGTAAACAAGCACCAACAAAAAGAAAAAATAAATGAGAGAAAAGTGCTCACCTTATTTTGGGAAGTTCCGCTTTATTGCTTAAAAAATGTATTTTCCACAGAGGATACCTATGAACACGTAGCTTCAATTCTTGTAAATGTGTCAAAATTGGAAGCTGGAAGAAGTATGTTGTTGCAGCCAAAGAGAAGCCTTCTTAAGCAAATCATAAGGCAATCAGATTCGACAAGTCCACTGAGGAAGAAAGGGGTATGGAATTTTTTACTCTTCCAAATCATAATAAAACTAAGCTAGTTATCCAATTAAGATTTATGGTTCACTGCATTAAATTCCTGTTGCATATGCATCAGAAAATATTAATTTCCCTTTAGCTAACTTTCTTACAAGGATATTGCACGTAAAATTTATATTTGATCTCATTGAACCTTTTTTAGAGTTGTATTTGATGCTATCTGAGGGGGACATTGTCATCATTAATCATCAATAATCAATTGATTGGAAGATAGAATTGTTGGTCTCTGTGGTCTTGGTGTGTATGTTCTATCATGTATTGTCCATTACTTCGTTACACTGAAAGATTAGCATAAAGTTTCTTTTTGTCTTGTATTTTCTATATTTTGCATTTGGTAATTGTAATTGGATTGATAATACAAATCTGCTCATCTGCATGTTTGGAAATGTTAGTTCAAATGTTTTTTAAAAATCAAAGTTCTTTTGTTGAATCATTAAGTCTAATATAATTCATTTAAACTCTCTAGGTGTCAGGAACTATCCGCAATTGTTGTTTTGAAGCAGACAGGCAAATTCAGAATTTGCTTATGTTATCAGAGTTTCTTTGGCCGGCTCTACTTTTACCTGTTGCAGGAAAGATGGTACTGTACATAGAAGTATTCTTATTTGCTCTTGTTAATTCTTATAATGCTGCATCACCTGAAAATACACTGTTACACCACCATAATAACCTGTACGACATTATGTTGGAATGGAAGTATGCTATAATAAAGCAACATGATAAGTAAAAGCAATCCGTGAAGTTGTACTCAAACATCTGTGCACCTTGGGTTACTAGTATTTTTCCTATATCAAACCACTGAGGTTAAGAAGAAAAGATAAAAAGAATGATGTGTGTGCTACTGTAGCATGATTGATACTTGAGATGATGTAAGAAGTTTTTTGTGCTATTTTTCTCCATCAAAAGAGATTTATTTTTATTTAAATAAAAAATTAATGGACCTTGAATGTGATCTTTTGCACTTGATTTTGTATATCTTATTCTTTATTTGTATCAAGAAACTTTTTAACTTGAGATATCATGCATAACATTATGCTGCGAATATGATTTGTTGTACATTGACAATACTATTATAATTGAAAAAATGTTGTGTGAATCATGTATATAAGCATTCAAAACAAAGTATTGAATAAAATAAGGCAATCAAGAGAGGAAGAAGTCACCTTAAATTGCTAAATTAAACTTCTCATTATCTACTTATCATTATAGTGACTATTTTCAAAGCCAAATTATTTTTAAAATATCATATATGATCTTAAAATTTATTAACTAAATTGACCTCTAAAAAATTAGACGTTATTTATATTGTATATATTCAAATAGGAGAAAATGATAGATTTGATGAATCTCCACTTGAAGCTTTGCTGCCTCCACATAGTGAGTACCCTTAAATTCTTCTGCTGCTCCTTGAAGATGTAGAGATTTAGGCTCAGGGAAATTAAATTAATTGTTTGAGGGCTTCTACAAACCTTCGCAGCTCTCCACGACTCCTTATCAGGCAACTGCACATCTCAATGAGCTTTTGCTAAATTAATTTTGGTAATAATTTAGCATCTCTTAACTCAAATCTTAGGAGCTAAGTTTATGCCAAAATCTGAGCATTTTTTAACCTTCACAGTAGCATATTGTGGAGAAACTTGTTTTGCCACAACAAATTTTTTGAATTCTTTGGGTTGATGTTCTTATCAGTTTCACACATCATTGGATCCACATGTAAGACCATTTTTATTTGTATTTAATTTTCTTACAGAATTTTAATTTATTGTTGTAGAAGTTTTCTAGAAGAGAATACCTAGAACAGAACAAGTTGAAAAGGAAGTCTCTCGAAGAGAAATGCTGGTTTCTTTGCCTGTTGCAGGACTGATGTGTTATTTATGCCAATTATTAATAAATCTTGGCTGATGTGTTATTTATGCCAATTATTTATCGACTGATTTTATTTATTTTTTGGATTGATAAATTTCGTTGTGATGAGGTTTTGTGAAAGTCCTTTAAAAATCTTCATAAGCCTAAAGCAACCTTTTCACAACTACGGCAGTCCAGTTGATATGGTTCTGAAAAACTTATCATTATCTAATTTTTTGAAAAATTAGCAAGAGTTATAGCCAAACAAAATTGTAGTAGAGGTTTGTAAAATAAAGCTGTGAAAAAGCTACCTCAAAAACAACCTAAGGCGTGATGCTACATAATAGCTAATTGATGAGACTTGCATCCTCTTGTTACATGATAATTATTTCTAATATTTTCTTAAGTGATTTGAGATTGTTGATTTATTCTGAAGTTGTTTTGTTTATTTGAGGGAAGTTTATGCTTATAAATATGAGATATTTGGCATATAGTGTGATGCCAGAGATTGAATATCAAAATTTAATTGACTTTGGCTCTTGGGTTCCTTGAGATTGGTTAACATGAAAAAACTATGCGTTCTTTATTTATTTGCTTCTGATAATACACTCTCTCTTTTATGATATATTTTGCTCAGTCTTACAGTGAAGAAGATACTGCAAAGATGCCTCTTGAGCTGGCTAATGTACTTTCTCATGAACGGGAACCAGTTGATGATCCAGAAATTCGCAAGCAGGCATTGGAAGCTCTCTACTTAATTGCCTTGCAGGTTTGAAGCTCAAACATTAACCATAAATTGAGTTGATGTGAAATTGGAGTGTTTTTATATGCTAATTCAATCACATATTCTTTCTTAATGTTAATGGACACAACTTTGCATTAGTTATGATTATAACGGCCTGTTTATTGCCGCATGAAAGCTCTCATTAATATATCTAAATATCTCAGGAAGCTGGAAGAAGTGCTCTGTGGTCTGTCAATGGCCCACGAATATTGCAACTTGGCTATGAAGATGAGGAGAATCCAAAAGTTATGGAAGCTTATGAGTTGATTGGCTCTTTGGTAATAAAGTTTCTCCTTTAACCCTTACATTATTATTATTTTTTTTGATATAATGTCATCATTGTTAATGTTTAGGATTCTCATTGAACTATTTCGGTTTTTGTTCGAAAATAACAAGCATATAGATTTCCTAATAGATTCACATTTAAATTTACACGCATTGTTTGGTTTCATGTTTTTTTATCCAATAAATATATTAATAAAATGCATGTTTCACTGATAAATAATGCATTTAATGGGTGATCCCGGAATAGAGGTTAAATTGCTGCCATTATTGTTATTATGAGGTATAAACTTGGTTTTCAAACCACTATTATTGTGTTGGGTTAAAGGTTCCAAATATAACTTAAACTATGTATTGATTGGTGACTCATGCAGATGACGTATTATATTTTGGAGGAAAACTTATGTTGCGCCTTTCTTAGAGCAGTTTCAATGATTCTAATATCTATCATGACCATTTTTAACCAAGTTTTTGATGAAATAAGATTTTCTATTTTATTTTGAATAAGATATTCAATTTAGAAATAAATTGTCATCCACACTAAAATAATAGGCTGAAAAACTTTAATTTTGGAGCTTTCTTGTATGCTGAAGCTGAGATTAGGATGAGTTTGGCACATGTATTTAGGTAATTTAGGAGTTTTCAGTATTTCTGTAGCACAAAAATATGGACGGAGCAATTCAGGGAGTCTATTTTTTACTGGTGATTGATGTTCAAATAAGGTGGAATCATAACAATCTTCTCTTTTTAATGGTTTCAGCTCGTAAGTAATGCTGGCTCCGAGGAGCTGATGGATCATACTATTCGGTAAAGCTGCTGCTGTCTCTACTCTTCATGACCGGTATTATATTTTTCCAACTTGTTTGGTTCAACCGGATGGATATGTCAAAGCCATTAAAGCCTTGTCACATTAATCATATTATCAGTCAACTTGTTTGCTCTAAGTAGTTTTCAAATATATATTTATTTTTTTTGTTGTTGTAATATGAAGTATGTAATATTTATACTTTTGTTGAAATAAGGAAAATAACGTCGTTGTTGCTCATTGATCGTTCCGCTGACCTGATTCTAATTTATACTCTTTTTTTTCATAACTCTTGGATTTCGGTGAACAGTTGGACATGTTGTAGAAGTTGTTGACATGCTGAACATTTTGTTGAGAAGGGCTGTTGTTATAGCAGGTATCGTAATGGCCGTGCGTGCCTGCTGTAGCAATGATTGATTATAAAATTTCCTGTTTGGCATCTTATCTAAACTTTCTAGGCTGTTTATTGGGCTTTGTATAAAAGAAGCCTAAATAAGTGTTTTTAATGTCAAGCATATTATACTAGCATAAATTTGAAATTTATTAAATCAATTCTAGCTATAAGGCTGATATTACAAAAATAAATATGGCATAAAATTTGAAATCACTGTATGGAGACTCAAGCATAGAATTAAGGAAATATAATAATAATAATAGTTATACAAAATATGAAAATATTGGAATATTTATAGATTTGATAGCCCAACTTACATTTTGCCTGAGCCCTGTTTATATTACATGATTTGATAGCCCAACTTACATTTTGCCTGAGCCCTTCCCACGATTACACTAACCAATTTACCATCTGCAACCTAAACTACCACGCAATAATAGTTGGATGCTGAATTCTTCATAACAATTTTTTTATTCTACAGTAGAAGCACTCATTATTTCTATAAGAGCAGCTCAACCCAACCCAGGCTTTATAGCCAAAACTTTGGTTGGATGCTGAATTCTTCATAACAATTTTTTTGTTCTACAGTAGAAGCACTCATTATTTCTATAAGAGAAGCTCAACCCAACCCAGGCTTTATAGCCAAAACTTTTCAAGCCTTTTAAGACTTGGACAAATTTATAGGCGTTTATTTCTTCCATTCAAGTTAATCTTCAAGTTGCAAGTACACCAAAGCTAGTTTACTAAAATCTATCATCATCTCCATAGTTTCCGATACTAGATTAATCTGAAAGAAAACACATAAATTATTATCAAATAAGATTTTTTATTAACAAATCAGAAGTTAAATTGAAAAAAAGAAGCCTAGAAATCTCTGCAAGGCAGCTAAATACATCTTGACAAAGTTGTGACATTAATAAGTTGCATGAAGAATGATGAAAAAAGTAACAAATTATACAACATTTCAGATTATAAATATGGCAAACTCAAAAAAATATCGGGATATCCTAACTCAAATAATAGCAATTAAGATCAATGCAATACATGGATAATAAATTTAAATTTTATATTTTACACATCCCAAAGAAAATTCGTAAATAGTATTTGAATATATCATACATACCATAGCCTACTGCCATTTTGTATTTGCTCCAGTTATGCTGCTAGCTCCATCATCGACGTACTTTCATATATAAACAGGTCACTACGAAAAAAAAAATTCAAATTATTACTATTATGAATAATTAGATTCAGATGCTGCGGGAAAAATCTAAAACTCACAAAAGCATTGGTTTATCCAGACTTCAAAACTTCAGAATCATCCCTTTTAAAGGTAATAATAGGTGCTTCAAAATCTACATAAGTACAGAAGGATCAAAATTATTGAGCCATTAGGAACAAATGGTAAATATTACTAATAACTAAAGTTATGCATTGCCGTAGTTTCAACATTATAAAAATAAAGGGACCTTTACATACATGGCATCCAATACTTATGGATTCACCTATCTCACACCAAAACTTCCAAATTTACAAGTACCATATGAAAAATAACACTCATTATCATCTTTTAATAGTCAAATCCATCTTCCATCTTTTCATAGTCAAATCCATCTTTTCATCCATATATAAAGTGCTACTTGTGTAAAAATGAAACTTTAGGTATGAGATGCCTAAAAATCCATAAGAATTGTGTTCTGCACATGTAAATTTCCCAAAATAAATTTTAAAATCGCGCACTAAAACATAATTTAATAAACATAAACTGTGAAAATAAATATAATGAGAGTATGTGTGGCAATAGTTGATCTTTAATTAACGACTAGAATTCACAAATAATTTATAAAATATTGTTGTGCGCCCTATGCCATTAAAGTTGTGACAAAGCAAACATAGTTTATTTTTGCATAAAAAAAGAAAAAAAAAGTAAGATTGCAGCATGCTAAAGCAATCACTATTATTTAAAACATGATTTATAAGATGTCTATAATTCAATTTCCAAGCTTTTTTAAAGCACAAATTCATGTTATATGAATAGTTCAAGAAAGAAGATTGAGAACATATCATATTTTTGTTGTATATCATGCCCTTCAAGAAATATGGCGCAAAAAAGATGGGTGAAAACCCATGCAAAAGGAAAATCAACTTTCAAGGAAGAATTGTTAGACCCAGAGGGTCGATGCATGAAGCAAAGATGGGTGTACAGTATGACGTACAACATCCCACAAAGCTACTGAGAGCCTTTCGTTGCATAAATATTTTTTTATTAGCATATAGATTATTTTATTCCTTGCTAAGTTGTTATCGTAAATGATTTGGCTTGACATATCAAATCAATTTGGTATGAGGAGCTCACACATGGGCATCCTAGACTCATGACCAGAAATACCAAACAAAATATTAGAGAGGTCCAGGTGTGTTTTTTTTTTAAGTATTCTTCTCTTAACTCTTTCCTTTAATTCTTTTCACCCTTAGCCTAAGCATGCCTCGTCATTCATATTCAGGTGGGTGTTAAGAAAATATATTCATTTTAGAGATGTCTTTAAATAAATTATTGATTTATTATCATCCTAATTTCACTTGAACAATTCTCTGAACATAATATCCTAAGGATCTTATCAAAAAAATTTTAAAATCAACAAAATGTAAATTTTTTATTTTTCACTCACCCCGAGCTTCTTCTTAGGAGTGTTGGCCAGTTTTTTTTTATTTTTGAAGCCTTTTACACTTTTTATTTTTCTTGAGAATTTCTACATCTGGTAGAGATTCCTTTATAATAAAGAAATTTCTTTTGACACAAATTTATGAGAAATAAAAATTTTTAGAATTTTATGATTTATTACTTGTTAAGTTTCCATTGGTTTAGCCAAATAGAAAAGTAAGAGACCTAAATAGTCTCTGAAACTACTTACATTTTAATGACACCCATCTAGTCATTTTGAGGTGTTCCCAAAACTTAGATGAAAATTCATTAAAGTAAAGGGATTTGGTCATCAAGACTTAGTTCGAATCCCCCAAATCATGAGGAATTGCATCATGAGGATTTGCAAATCCTATGAAGATGTGTACATGGTCTGGCTCAAGCCAATCCTTTGGATCTATCTTAGATTCAACCTCAAGAATCATCAAAGGTGAATCCAAGATAAGATCAACTAAGGGGCACGGTTCCTTTTGGAACCATCTCAATGGCCTCCATAATTGGAGATGGAACATCAAGTGGTGTAGAGATAGGAATTTTTCTAATCCACTACCTCTTAATCAAAGGCATATTGCAGTTAGATGACTAGAGTCTAAACGCTAACGTCATATATCAAGGTATACCGATGAGTCGTGGACAAATTTATAGAGATAAAACGCTCTAATCAATTCAACATGACCATCGACAAGGTAATAAAATTCAACCAAGTCAAAAAAAATAGTCATAAGTTTGGATATAGAAGATGTTCCAATGCATAATGATGCTATTTCACCAAGAATAGACACAAGAGTCAATAAGGTTCTAGATAAGATATCCTAGTCAAGTTCAAGTAGACTAACTAGATAAATTGATAGACAAATAGAGTGTTCTTAGCAACAGAATACTCTCATCAGGGGCTTAGCCAAAATGCATACTAGATTGAATCGAATGAGTCACTCTCAAATATCTTGGGAGATGTGTATCCCAGCTAAACATGGATCAACATAGACTAGCAATGTGGTCTAGTCAATACAAAAGAGATTTTGTTGGTGATTCTCCCAATCAAAGTATAAGACATTTGTTATAGCCTTGCTTAATAAAAAGAGTCAGAATAAAACACTCTGTCAGTCGCCAATTAGATCGACACCTAAGGGTAAATTTGTCTTTTATTAACCTATGGGAAATTTAGTCTTTTGTCATTTATTATTGTTTAGTATAAATAGGGCAAATATGTTTAGGATTAGGGTAATGCACGAGGTTATTGTTGTGAGTCTTAGATTTAGGGTTTGAGAGAGATTTCTTACCTCTCTAATTGTTATAATTGGGAGAGATTGTCTGCCGCTCGAATTGTAGGGGTTCATATTTGTATTTGTGTAAAATGTTTGATGTTCTTGCAATAAAATATATTTGCCCTAATTTCTACGAAGAATCCTATCAAATTAATATTAGAGCAAAATTTATGGGAAAAACCAGCAAGAGAAGCAGCCGACGGCTTCTTGAACTACACATGATGCTGGTTCGTCATACAATCGTGATTAAAGTTCAAGGAGAAGGCAACGATGGGGATCGCAGCTTACAGAGACCCGAAACTCCATTTTTTCTTTGCGGAGAAGGCAATGACGGGATTGCAGTACTTGATTTGATAGAGAAAGCAATGACATGATTGCAGCTTACAGAGCCCCAAAACTCCCTTCTTCACGGAGAAGGCAACGACAGGATCGTGGTATGTGATTTTGTGGAGAAAACAACAACGATATCACATTTTACAGAGACCCGAGACTTCCTTCTTTCTTCTCCTCCTCTGTCATCGTGACCCGGTGGCGATTAGAGCTAGCTGCGAAGAAACAGAGACACATTGTAGCGTACACGGTAAATGATCGGAATTGTGTTCAACGTTGTGTGTCGCAATTTTTTCCTAGTTGGGAAGCCAATGGCGAGATCACAGGGTACAAACGTGCATATGAAAATGAACAAATCACAGTACGTCGCTATCATGATTAGTGGATTTGTTGCGGACTATAATTTTGATTAATAGAGGCCAACAAGAGGATCGCAATGTCCAGAGTCTCGCACCAAAACCGCTTACATAAATTTCAATCATTGCAATTTCAACATAAAAGAGTTCCAAAATTGTAGAGGGAGTAATGACGTCCAAGAATGTAGATGAATTGGAGAAAACATTAGAGGAAGAGATCAATCAAATCATATTCAGAATGGAGGAGAATTTTTCAACCATAAAGGGGAGATTGGAAAGGAAATTTGCAACCTTAGAAAAAATGATAAAGAAGAATGTGGAGTCCCACGCAAACCGCCCTCCACTTATAGCGGGATAGAGCAAAGGATTTAGAAGCATACTCGAATGAAAACACTTGAAAGGAATAACATGATATCCAGATGGTTGGAACAAGCGTCAGCAGGCAGAATGGAATGACATGCGATTCAGGGCAAGAGAAAATCAATTCGAAGGATTCCGACCCGAAATAGGAAACCACAGTGCATGGGACCCCAACCGAGGGTTGCATCCGACGATGTCAGTGCCTTTTGTTACAACATTTTTTCGAGCGGAAGGAGATACAAGAGCCTATGAAGGAGGGTTAACTGATTATAGGACGAGTTAGACTTATGGAAGAAGAAAAATCAATATGAGTCGAGGAAGGGAACCCAAACCCCGCTTTATGGAAGGAGATGATGCATACAGTTGGGTCAATCACGTGAAGGGATACTTTGTTGTTGATGGGTTGACAAAGGAAGACAAATTGCTGGCAAAAGCGTGGTACCAATAAAGAGAACAACGTCAACCAATCAGAACCTGAGAAGAATTCAGGGATTGCTTGTTGGAACATTTCCAAGCCATTCAGAAAGAAGACCCACATGATCAATTCTTTGCATTGACTCAGGAATGGACTGCTATGAAGTATAGAGATAGATTCAAGCTATTATCGAGACAACTGAGGGGGATTTCTGAAGTAGTATTGGAGGGGAACTTCATGAAGCGTCTAAATCCCTACATACATGCAACACTTCGTCCGTTGAGACCGCGAGACTTGGGAGAAACTATGGAATTAACGCAGTTGGTTGAAGATCATAATGCAATGAAATGAGCTAAAAGGAGCAGCACAAGTGGAGCGTCATACCAAGCTACGACAACCATGACAACACCAAAAATTAAAATAATAGAAGTTCAGGGAGGCTTCACAAGATAATAATCATGGGCCACAACCATGGGCGACACTCAAGCGTCTTACAGAGACAGAGATCCAAGAGAAGCTAGCCCAGGTGCTATATTTTTGGTGTGATGATAAGTTTAACTAAGGACACCGTTATAAAAATTGAACATTACAAGTTTTCACACTCTTTGACGAGAAGACAATCAGCAACAACAACAACAACAAAGCCTTAATCCCATTACGAGTGCTATATTTTTGGTGTGATGATAAGTTTAAATAAGGACACCGTTACAAAAATTGAACATTACAAGTTTTCACAGTCTTTGACGAGAAGACAATCAGCAGCAACAACAACAACAAAGCCTTAATCCCATTACGTGGGGTCGGCTACATGAATCCTTTTTTCTCCATTGCGTCCTATTTAGTGCATATTTTCATTTAATTCTAATAAATTAAGATCATTTTTTATACAATTAAAAAAGTCTTCCTAAGTCTACCGTTGCCTTTCTTAACATAAGTCGAATCTAAAACATCTACTCTCCTAATCGGGTCATCAGATGGTCAACGTTTAATGTGACCAAACCATCTAAGACAAGGTGTCTTTTGATAGTACAATAATGTTAGATTGACACCTGAGGGAAAATTTGTCTTTTATTATCCTATAAGCAATTTATTATGTTGTGTTTATTATAGTATGTTTAAGGTTAAGGTGATGCAAGAGATTAGTGTTGTGAGTCTTAAGTTTAGGGTTTGTGAGAGATCTCCTACCTCCCGAGTGGTAGGAATTGGGAGAGATTACCTACCTCTCGAATTGTAGGTAAACAAAGTGTTGCCCTGGTTAGCTAAAGGAAAATACCATTTAGTTGTTAAGTTTGTTAAAGTTAAAAGCTGTTTAAGCATTAAACTAAACCTAGAGAACTAAGGTATGTACGATGCTCAAAAAAGTTAAATTGCAGTAAACACTCTTGGCTCCACGCAGATGGCAGTAACATGCAAAGAAAATAGAACTTTCATCCAAAAAAGATAATTTGCTAATGAAGCAGCACCAATCATGGGTAAAGTTATTGTCAAGCTAACTCAATATCAAAGCGTTGTATAATTACAAAGTAATAGAGAAAACTCCACAGATTGACGGAAAATTGTTGGGCAAATTCAAGCCATAGAAAAGTTCTTGCAAAATTAAACATGCTTAACAGAAGAAAAAAATGGATTAAAAGTTCAGGCTTTGATTCGATACAAATTTTTCACTGTCAAAAGCCCTGCAATTTACAGCAGAAAAATAAAAATTACCTAAAATAAGCATGCCTTCAAAAGCCACTTTGATTAGATATGTACATTGTTGAAAATGTTAAGTCTCGCAAAAGGACTATTCCTTCAAAGCATTTTGTCCAGAATAAGACAAATGCAAAATTTTCACCGTCAAAAGCCTGCAATTTACAGCCGAAAGGAGAAAATTACCTGCAATAAGCAGGCCTTCAAAAACCACTTTGATTGGATTTGTACATTGTTGAATATGTTAGGTCTCTCAGAGGACTAATCTCTTCGAAGCATTTTGTCGAGAATAAGACAGATTTTGTATATCTCTATGCTCTCACAAGAACCCTTCCTACAGAACGCTTGTATCATAAATTCAAACAAGCGAACATCCAGCAGTAAACCCTTCTCAATCATTTCTCCAAGCAGCCTCAACAAATCTCCAACCCTTCCACCCTTAACTAACCCAAAAGCCAGATGCGCAACATGATCGGATTTGAATTCCAAATCAATGGACCTAACAAACTCAATAGCCTCTGAAAACTTTCCATCCCAACAAAGACCATCTACAATTATATTGTAGGTGATGGCGTCGGGGGAGATCTGCCCGGAACCCATCTCACCCAGCAACTGATGAAATTCATCAAACTCTCCAGCCAAACAAAACTCGTGTAAAAGGATATTACATGTCACAATATCTGGAGAAAAAGCTTTGCTTTTAAAAAGATGCTTAGCTTTATAGAGTTTTCCAGCCCTGCAAAGGCTCAAAATAACAATGTTAAAGGTCTGTACATCAGGTATTATTCCCTTCTTGAACATATCAGACAAGAGGTTCGGAATAGCTGAATACTCTCCAAGCTCGCAGAGCCTGGTCATGGCAGTGTTATAGGTAGCAGCACCAACATCAAGCCTGAGCTCGAAGCTCTTCTCCAAAAAGAATATAATCTCCATAATCTTTGAATCACGACACAACAGACCTAACAGTATATTCAAAGTCACTTCAGTAGGGTGCAATGATTTATTCAGCATTACATCCAATTGCTTGAACGCCTCATCAATCATCCCCCTCTTGCACAGCCCGCCGATATAAGTATTGTATGAAACAGAGTCTGGCTCCCAACCAGTATTAGAACTCTCACAAAGAATTCTGTCGACTTCAACAAAATCCCCATCGTTACAGAGGGCATGGATGAGTACGTTATAGCTCACAACATCAGGAGGGCAGCCCAAGTTCCTCATCTTCTCCATGAGCTCACGGGCCAAATCGATCTTCCCTTCAGCGCAAAAAGCCTGGAGGATGGGGGTGTAGGTGTGAGCATTTATAATGCAATCATCCTTCAGCATTGAATTCAAAACAGAGAAAGCTTCATCCACTTTACCAGCACGGCAGAGCCCCGAGATCACAGTAGAATACGTCACAACATCCGGTCTACAGCCTCGATCCACCATTAATTGAATGAGATTGCGGGCAGAAGCGAAGTGTTTGTAATGAAAACAGTACATCTTAACAAGGATAGAGTAGGCAACAGAATCGGGGGCGATACCCGATGAGATCATTTGGCTGAAGACGGACTCGGCTTCTTGATAGCGGCCGGCACGGATTAGGGCATCCATTGCAGTAGCATAGCATCTAACGTTGGGTTTATTCATCCCGCGAAGGAGGCTGATAGTCTCGTCGGTTTCGCCGAACCGACCGAAAGCCTTCATGAGCGGGTTGTAGTGGTCACTGTGGCGTGGCTGGCCATTAGAATCTGGAGGGGAAAGGGAGCGACGATGCTGGGGGATGTGGTGGGAGAGTCTGTAGAGAAGAGATTCACCAAAGGGAAGGATGCCGGTGTCGGGATCTTCGGTGATAGATGCAGAGACGGTGTCGCCGTTGTCGGCGGAGTTCATCTCGTAGCCGGAAGAACTGCAGCTCCGGCGAGGGAGATGGATAACATTAAAGAGGAAATCTAGGGTTTTGATGGCTGTGCGGGCGACTACGGAGAAGGGGGAGGAGACCCACGCCGCCATGGCGGTATCGAGACAGGTGGGGGGAGGCAGAGAACGGTAGAAAAAAAAAATCAAGTTTTTATCCCTTTGATTTATTTATTTGCATATTCAAATTTAAAGTTTCATATATTATATAAATTTTTGACATCATATAAAATATCATCAATAAAAAATTGTATAAAATAAAAGCATAATTTTTATTTATATCACAAAACAAGAGAGGAAACAAAGGAAAAACCCACAAAGTAAACAAGTAAACAACAAATAAAATATATTTTTAGTTTTTTTTTTCTTTTATGTATCATTATAGGTGTTTTTTTTTTCTTGGGGGATGGGGTCATTTTATATATCAATTTTTGACACCCCTATCTCACATCCAATGACTTGATTATCAATTATGTCGAATGTACAAACTTTTCAAACTCCAAGTTTAGGAAAAACTCTCACTAACTCCTCCCATGACAAACCAAGTGACAACTCCATCATTCATCGTCAAACAATCGGTTCATTGCAATGCATAGCAATAACTTGGCTCGATATTGCCTTTGCCTAGAACCGATTGTGTTAATTCATGGACAAACCAACACAACAACACCTACTTCTAAAATTGCAACTTCACACGTTAAAGACAAAATTCAATAAGCAAGGTGTACATTACTTTATAAATAATTTTCAATTCAACCTAGGCAACCAATCTCATCCATCATTAATCAACAACAGGTCACTATACTTTTCGATTCAACACTCATTTCTTGGAGGTCCTAAAAATTTCTTCTTATCCTTTCCATCCGCACGTTTTTTTCCTTCTACGTCACTGCCTCCCGAAATTTTGATCTTTCCTTTCCAGATACCTTCCTGATTTGGTTCCCGCTCTCCCTTGTCGCTTTCTCGAATGATACCTTCCTGATTTGGTTCCCGCTCTCCCTTGTCGCTTTCTCGAATCGACCCTAACCACCGTCACACAAGTATACATATCGTTATCAAGTAATATAAGTACCACACAAGTAATATAAGATTTTTTGATTAAGACATGAATATCGAACCCACAGAGAAATTATGCAATATGCACTTTTAAACAACAAACTTTCTATTCTAAAAGGACAATTACTTAAATCATAAATATTTTCGCAATTAAAATGCAAGTCTTTTTGGTATTTTTGATATTTTGACATAACAATAACAATTTAAAAAGATAACCCGAGTTTATGTAAAGAAAAACACTAAATTTGATAAAAATCTTTCTCCTTATCATGAATCAGTAATAAGTATAGGAATTTTGTTGTGGAAGTATGCAAATTATGTTGTGTCAAATAGGAGCAATAATATTTTTTACCCTTACTAGAGATGCTATAAAGAACATTGTTTAATTTAAAGTTTGAATAATTTTGAAGACCGACTAGGCAGGGAAGATACCAGCTCTCACTCTAGAGTTCCCTCGATTCCCTCCACCTGGGGGCTAACATCTCGTATCAAAACCTAAAACAATAAATCAAGTTGGGGACTTTAATCTGTCACTTTAAAGTCCTCTAACTCTACACCCTTCAATAATTATTTTCCAATTTATTTGCACTAAATCATATGAATTACATTCTCATTCATACAACATCATGTGATTCTTTCCAATTGTTGGCTGAGACAATACCTGCCCATTTCTTACATGTTCTCACAACAAATTTTAACATCTGATAAGCCAAATCAAGAAGTAAATGAAGTTCATGGATTTAAATCATCACAACTTCTTCCAACATTAAAGATCAATACTCTCCACAACTTCCATCCAACACTTTAATTAATTATCATTTTAAGGAGAAAGATAAAGAAAACTACTCAGAATCCATGAAGACAAAACCATAATTTAGTTTAAAAGTAAAAATCATTGTCAAACCAACAAGAAGTCTCGACTAAAACCAAAAGTAGTTTAAAACAAAAGATAAAAACTTATCTCAAATCCTCCACCGAACTCTTGAAGTTCTCTTGAATCTCTTCTCTTTTACAACACTCTTAACTCTCAAAATAAAACTAAAAACAAAAGGAAAAAAGTAAATTTTGTGGTTCTTGAATCTCTCCACAAGATTCTCCGCAAGCTTCTTCTCACGACTCCAACACTCTCTCCCTCTTCAAGCACCCATTTCAAATGTAAAAACTCTCTTCTTTTATAAATCTCCAAGAGGTTCTTTGACAATTCTTCAAAATGTGTTCAAATTTGATGTATTCTCCAAAGGATGTCTCCTTTCACAACTCTTTTAATTATATTTTCGTTCATAGTGGTCATAACCGCCATCTTTAGCCAATAGGTGCCACAAATACCTCTTCAAAATTCGGCCAAATGAAGAAAACCGTCAAATAACTGCCTCTAGTGCTTAAGTGTGAGGCCTCTGGCGCTTAGGCGCGGCCTTCTCTGATTAACTGGCGCTTAAGTGCCGGAACTGGCGCTTAAGCGCCCGAACACTTTAGCACAATTTTCACCTATTTGCTCCAAATTTGATTCTTTTTCACTTCTTTTAACATTTTTCACATTTTTACTTGTACCTGAAAGAAAAACATATTGTACCTGAAAGAAAATAACATTTTTCACATTTTTACTTGTACCTGAAAGAAAAACATACAAATACCTTCCATTAAAGCGCAATATCTCAAAAATAGGTATAAAAATGTGTCTAAAAATACTATATATTTTAGGTGTATCAGGTAACATAGAATGTTACTCAAGAGTTACAAGCTAATTTTACAGCCTAAATTGCACAAATGGTTCAAGCTATCCAACAAGCGATGCAATCAACACTATAAGCCACTCAACAAGTACCACTAGGGGTCATCACGATGGCTCAACTCGATCGACTAATGGCAATGACCAATGTGAGCACTTTGGATCAATTGATTCATCGATTTCTGAAAATGCATTCTTCTACCTTCAATGGCATGGTAAACCCGATTGAATTTGATGCATGGCTCCATGATATCAAGAAGAGGTTTCGAGGGATAAAGTATGTTGAAAACCGTAAGGTAGATATTGTGACGTTCCAGTTGCATAGGAGCTAATGATTGGTGGGAAAATCACAGCTACAACACGTTTATACTAGACACGATAGTTTATTAGGAAAAATTTGAAATATTATTCATGGGACAATTTTCCCTATAGCAAACCAAGCCAAGCTCATGAATGACTTAAGGAAGCTAGAGCAGGGGATGAAGACTGTTCTGAAGTACGAGACACAAACTGTAGGATCGTCCATTTCATCCCTTCGATTAATCAACGTGAAGATCAAAAGATCTTTCACCAACTTGTTGGCTTGAAAAAGGACATCCATAGGCGCCCATCAGCCTTTAAATGTATGACTTACAGAGAACTGATGGATCAAGCTATTCATGTAGAGATATAGGTCGATGGATGCGAGAAAAAAACATGCTTGGAAGTGGAGCAATTCAGGTACACAAGCTAATGGGAGTTCCTTAAAGAAGAAGCATCAAAGTCACCAGGCACAGAAATCAAAAACAAATCTTTGATGCATACAATACAAAAAATGGCATTCTTGGATGTGTAGCTTGGTCGTTGGCACATGCTTCAACTGCTATTGTACCGACCATAAAACTAAGGATTATCCCCTCAAAGTTTAAAGTTAGCTACAAGTGACATACACCCAGAAAAATCATTCTCAGTCTAAATATAAGAATAATGACATTATTCAAATAGCTGATAATTTCGCATTACAAAAAGGGTCAAGCAAAATAGAATTATTTTAAGCCTCAACAACAACAACAACAAATTTTGGCATCTCATCCGTATCAGTCACATACTCGTGCACCACAGTATCAGTAGTACCATCAACCCTAACAATTGTCACCGATATATCAACAACCTCAATAGTACAATACCAACCTCAATTAGCTCAAGCTTCAGAGCATCCCACATAGGTAATTTTACTGTGAGCATTCATTATGACGCGAGAAGAAACTCATGAAGCTCCCTATGTGGTTACATGTATCATCATTATTTTAAAGCAACTGACAAGGGTATTATTTGACTATGGGCAATTCATTTATTCATATCAAACAAAAGTACATCTAGTGCATTGATTTTCCCATTACAATCACATCTATCAATAGCACTACCATCTGGCTCACCTGTGATCGTTACTAAGTGCATTTGCACTACCATCTGGCTCACCTGTGATCGTTACTAAGTGCATTTGTGATTATGACATTATCATCAATGACATGTATGTACCTGTTACTATCATAGTATTCCCACTAGCTGAGTTTGATGTAATCTTGATATTGACCAATTATCTACAGATCATGCATTTATATTGTCATAAGAGATGGGTGAATCTCTGCATGTCTGGCTTAGTTTCCTTTTACTTCAAGGGTAGCACATGAGTCATTTCTTGTCTAATTTTGATAATTAAGACTTATAAGTTGATCTCCCATGGGTGTACTGGCTATCTAACTCATGTGATGGATTCCGAAAAAGCTGGTGTTAGCTTAGATAGTTTCTCAGTGGTTCGAGAAATTGTCGATGTATTTTCTGAAGATTTACCTGACTTACCACTAGATTGTGAGATTGAGTTTACTATAAACCTAATTTCGGGGACCTTTCCAATTTCTAAAGCACCATATCAGACGACCACTATGGAGCTCCAAGAGCTCAAGATTCAGTTGCAAGACTTGGCTGATAAAGAATTCATCTGATCTAGTGTTTTGCCTCGGGGAGCACCAGTTCTTTTCGTGAAAAGAAAAGATGGAAGCATGCAGTTGTGCATTGAATACTGAGAGTTGAATAATGTGAACCTAAAGAACAAGTACACACTACCTCATATGGATGATTTGTTTGATCAATTAGAAGGTTCTTCTGTGTTTTCCAAGACCGACCCCCGATTAGGCTATCATTAGTTAAAGATCAAGAATGAACATGTTTCAAAGTCTACTTTTTGATATTGATATAGGGATTATGAATTTTTTGTTATGTCATTTAGTTTGACTATTTCCTTGTGGCCTTCATAGATTTGATGAATAAAGTTTTCAAGTCCTACAAGGATCAATTTG